AAGATAATCTTGAGCATTGGAGGGTAAATGTTTTAGCATGTTTGGTGAAATATTATCTAGACCCAAGGCAGTTGATTTACGTGAAGATATAGCAATGTCTATTTCAGGCATAGAAAATTTATGTGTGAGAACGCGGGGCGGAGAATATTGGGTGTAATAATTTGGGCAGATTTCTGAAGCTTATGGAACATAACAAGTGGACAATTTGTAGCAAAAGTCGTTTTCAGTGTTTTTGAGGGTTAATACAATTGTTGTAACACTTGGCAGTGGCCCAGAGGTGTTGTATTGTTTAAGAAGGGTTGAGATTTTAACAAAAATCTTTCCAATTTTTCCAATTTTCGCTTTTGAGTAGACAGGTGGTGGTGAGAGCACAGGTTAGGTTACGATATTTAAGGAAATAATCCATAGAACCTGAGCGTCAGAAGTTTCTAAAAAATAGTGTTCTACTTTTAGCGGCATCGGTACAGGAAGAATTCCACCATGGGGTGGAGGGAGGGTATGAGTTGGTATTAGGTCCTCTTCTAGGGATTGTGGATTTTGCAGAGGTATTAATGATACTGGTGAGAGTAGAATAAGAAAGAATTGAAGAGTTGTTACTTGTCAAAGAAGCTATTGAATTCTGGACTTGGAGGGAAAAAAATGACCAACTAGCTTTATTGGAGTTGAAAGAACTATGATTGTTTACGGTAGTATCAAGATTGACATTGTATTTAGTGAAGTGGGTCAGATGGTTGATTTTGGCAGTTACTATAATGGGCATATGGTCACTACCGTGAGGCTCACTTACAGTCTGCCATGATAAGTACCAGAAGATATCAGGTTAGCAGAAAGATAAGTTGATAGCCGAATTGGTTGAGCCAGGTCGTCCGACATGAGTAGCAATACCATTATTCAAACTGCAAAGTACTAATGAGTTGAGCGATTATAGATCAGGTCACCACGGTGGGAAAACGAATCAGAACCTCAGGCAGGATGAAAAGCATTGAAATCACCGCAAAGGAGAGTATTTCGGAAATCAAATGTGAATAAATCTTGCCACAGGTTAACAGGAATATTAGAGCTACTGGGGAAATAGCAGGACAATACCTTTATAGGAGGAGATAAATCGGATAAAACGAACTCGGCGCCAATGATGTCAATTTTTAGATTAGTAAATCTGTTACTGGTGCCAGTATCGATTAGAATTAGTTTAGATTTGAGGGATTTTTGTATGGCTATGACTACACACCATAACCATCCGAGCGATCGGACCTATACGTTTTCAACTGTGGTATAGAGAGGGAACGAGAGGGAATTAGCCAAGTTTCGGAAAGATGAGCGATAGAGCATTTATGATCGTTAAGTAGGTGTTGTAGGGGTGGAAGGCGAGCAGGAAGACTTCTCACACTAAACTAAATTATAGTAATGTATTCATTTGGTTTAATATTATTAGCTACAGGCACCATAATATATATATTTTTTTTAATTTACTGAAATGCAACTATGAGCTGAGGTGGCGTATTGTTTATGCATTAAGGTTAGAGTATGGGATATTGAGAAGAGAATATATTGAAGATTCAATTAGGGACTGAAGAGATGTGGGGGAGAAAGGAGTAGATAACGAATGTGAGTAAATGTTTCAAATAATTAATAAAAAAGGGTTTGGACCCAAGATGTATCTGCCGGGTTATTTACAGGAGTAAATTCATTGTTAGGGATTTTGTTTAAGTAGCTCCGTCGGGGGAAGATAATTGAATTTCTAATGGTGAGTGATTATATTTTTTGTTAAATGAGGTGCGATCTTTGTGTTTTTGTTTCCCGGAATTGAAAAAACGATGATTATCGTTTAGACTAGGGAAGCTGTCTTCACCGAGAGCGGTGTTGGGTTTAAGAATTTCGGAGATTGGAGGCTGGCTTTTCACAACATCGGAAAAAGTATTAGCAGTAGAGTAGCATTTATTTTTCCTCAATAGTTAAGCTTCTTTGTAAGAAATGTTCTCGGTGGCCATGGTCGGCTGCCTCAACTCTTGGATCAAAATTTCCGATAAATTTTAGCGTTCGCGTGAGTGCGGCCTTTACAACACTCCGCTTATGTTTGAATTCAGATAGTACTTTCAGTGTATCTGCGTCTAAAACCATATATATTTTTGAGTGTAGTAATTTATAGAGAAGATATCTAGTTCAATTTCAAATCTGGTGTTTTATAAATATATAAATTTACGCTAACGTGTAATTGTAATATAACGTAGGCACGAAATAATACAATTAAAATTCAGATTTAAGAATAATTGGATTAAATTATATGTATAATGTAATGCACCACGTATATTACGATATACGATACTAATAACAATAATAAATTATAATCAAGATATCGTCATATTATTACTATCACATCGAGGTCACCAAAATGTACGCGCCAGGTACAGGATAATAATAGTCCGTTAGCGTGGTCGCTGCTCCTCCGCGCGCTTGCTCACACATCGACCGACCTGTGCATTTGATTGTATGTGTGTGCAGCGACTCAAGTAAGGTGGACGGGATCGCCGTCTATGGCGTCAAGCTTAGGTTAGGTTAGGCAAGTACATAATTGTATGTAAAATGATTAAATTAAATTAAATTAAATCATTTAAATGCATAAGTAATATGCAAACCATACGTTTTTATGGAAATATGCACTTACACCCAAATATATGCAAAATTTGCAATTTTCTTTACATAAGTATGATAAATGAAAATCTATTTACCGCTTGTAATTGCTTAAAAAATAGTGATCATGTATTATATGCAAAATCTGGTCTTTAATTAAAATTGTATGTAAATTGTACCTATTTGATTATAAAACATACCTTGTAAATAACCATATTCTTTGTTATTCAGAAATCAATGTAAAATATAATTTGATAAGATATTATTACATATACCCACCTAACCCAATATATTATTTAAATTATAATTTTATGAGTTAAACCTAACAAATATAGAGCACTATTTATTCTTACTTACATCTTTTTATAATAAGGCCCATATTAATGATTCTTAATTTTATTATAATTTTAATTTTAACCTTAAAATTCTCTTTTTATATTTAAAACCTGATGTGCCCAAAATATATAAAAAAGTGATGAAATTATTTCACCGAATTATTAAAGTTTATTAATTTTAAGGTTCTTTATAATTTAAAATTTTAAATTGACTTCCTAACAGCCTATATAATTTGCAGTCAAATATTTCATTCATTTAGGTACATTAAATTATTAAAATCACACATTAACGCATTGCAAAATATGTTTAATTTATCACCACCTTTTGTTGTGTGATAAATACTTGTGTTTCGATCCCCTTAACAGATGTCGGAACTGCAATTCAGATATATTTCAGGGCCATGTCACCAATAGTAATTGTAATTATGTCTATATTATTAAATTAAAAAATGTTTTATTAGTACCTATATCAGTAATTAAGACTTTTATACATTTTAAATTTTAACTGAGTAAATATAAACAATTCTTTGATATACCTATTAACTAAATGAACATGATTTAAATGGTGAATTAAAACAAAATTAGATAGATTTAAATTTTATTTTTTTATTGATCAAACCTATTAGTTTTTATAAAAATAATAATCAGTATCATCAATATCAATCTCAACAAAACTATTGACCATTCTATAGTTTAACAATTATTAATACAATGAGTCAATCATTATTTAGAAATGCAACCACCAGCAGGAGCAGGATGTCTGAGGTTGATGTTAATTATTATCATATCAAAACAATGATATTATCTAATTTACTTTTAGACATTTCTGGGAGTAAAAATTTAAAAATAAGCAAGTGGCCCAGCTCTGTAATCTAAAAGTGGTCCAATACGGGCTAGTCTACATGCAAAATTACAACTGCTATTATTCTGTTGTAAATTAAAAGTTAAGTCATAGAAACTTCTAACATTCTCCTATAAGATACCTAAATTTTTATTTCCTATTCTTTGAAATTTCCAAAATAATTAGAGATTATAGATGATTAATTTGTAAATGGTGTTTGGTTTTAATGTATAACACTTTATAATAAACATATTATTTTGAATTTATTATACAGTATCTCATGGATAAAATGTTTACATTTTTAATCATTACCTATACATATATAACATAGATAAGTAGGTAACACTGCATGTTTTCTGAGCAAGTGTTTACATGCAGGGTTGGAATAAATGCATTACATTTCAATTTTTAAACAAAACTTCTGTACTTTGTATATAAGTTACATAAAGGTAAATACTTAGAATATTTTACTATATAACACAAAAAATACTAGTCAAATTTTTATCCATCACCAGATTTGAGTTATTATCACTTCTATATACAATAATATATTTAATATCTTTGAAAACATTTATTAATATATCTACATCAATTAATGATGTATTGTTTGTCTTCTACAAAAACTTTTTAAATATTGGTGTAGGAAAGGATAAACAGTATTAAAAAAAATAACAACAGTTAGTAATTACTGATACAAAGCAATATATTGATGATACAGCTTAGGTTTTGAAAATATTTTAAAAATTTGAAATCAAAATAAAAACCAAAAAAGGAACACAAAAACAAAATAAATATGTATAATAATATAAAATTTTTAAATTAAACAATATTTTTCAAGCTTAAAATTAATATGATGAGTTTGTGTTACAAATGTTATGAATATTGACAATAAAGCAATAATTAATAATTAGGTCAATTAAAGTATGGAGATTTAATAATTATCGTGAAATCAATATGCAAAGGAAATAAAATTAAAAATACAAAACAAACTTGGCTTATTGTGTTATTGCAATAGATACACACCAGGCGTTTGTGGCAGGCGTTAACATAAAAAAAAATTACTGTATACACCTATAAATGTTCACAACATAGAAAGTTTAAGCTACCTAGTTCATTTATCAAGATTTGCAGTACATTTTAACACAATCGTAATACACTCTTTATATATTAAATAAATATATTATAATTACAAAATTCTCTAAGCCTCGCAAAACAATTATTACGGACAAATGTTTAAGGTTTCAATTGTTGTGCAAAAAAGTAACGAAAATAATAAAAAAGTTATGTGGCGTTTATACGAGTGTATATAAATATATAAATGTATATTCCGATTGTAATTATTTGTAGACTTCATTATTGAACTAGATAATGAAATAAACGTTATAAATAACATTTTGATATATCTATAATTAATATGATTTTACATATCACTACCGAGAATATATATTTATATATTTTGTAAATAAAAATAGTAATTAAAAATCTTTGTAACAAATAAATAGGTATAAAAAAGTATAATTAATTCTTCACGATTATAATTTGTTAATTAGGGCAGTTTTTACAATTTGGCTGTTATTTAAAAATAATAGCAAATAAATGTCTACAAACATAAAAAATGGCAATTAATGCCAATGGTCATAAAATTACAATCTAAGTGATGTACATTACAATAAAATAAATAGATGGTCTGAATGTTCATATAAATATATATATATTTAGTATTCCCCTTTTAAAGTATGATTTGGATACAAACAGACAAGGATGAATGGCAACAGACAATTTTATAAGATAAAACTAAATTGAAGTGCATAATATTGTCTAATCTACTCGCACCAACATTTTTCTTAGTTTATCTTATGCACAATGTAAATTTCATAATCACATGAACGGTTAATGTAGTTTTAATATATATGTATATATATATTTTATCACAAACAAATAATTATTTATATATACGAGTTTCAAATACCGTATTAGCAGCCATGTTACAAAAATAAATTTAAATGCATAGTTTATCTTTTCAAAAACAATTCTAGTAAAAAAAAAACTATACATTTTAAAATTTTATAAGCTGAAGAGAATGACAAATAATGTTGTGGTTAAAAATGTACAAAAAGTACAAGATGCAATAATTACGATAATATGCTTTTAGGAAAAATGTTCATAGTACAATACTATAATATATAGCATTAAAATACATACTCACATATAAAAAGAACTGATTTTTTTTTTGACAAATTTGACATCTATTGATCTTAGTTTGACCCGTAGTTTAATAATTAGTTTTAAAATTAACTGACCAAAATTGAATTACAATTTTTATGTAACATATTAGCTAATAATAACTCTCAGTAATCTGTTCCCACAGTCATTCATAAATTGGACATAAATTAATACTGAAGAACTAGAATACTTACAGGAAAAAAAACAAATAGTTTAAGATGTTAAAAATAAAATTTGTCACCTGGACATACTGTATAGATAAGTTGTTTGAAATTAAAATTGAAAACATGTAATTGTGTATTGGTAAATTGTATTTCCTGAGTATTTTCAAATTACTCTCAAGCTTATCTATATAATTTATATAAATATAGAAATAAATGTAAAAAAAAAGTTTCAAATTTGGTAACAATAATTTCACAAGCTAAAAAAAAAAATATATTTATCATAATAATAGATTAATTTGTTGAATAGGGCCAAATCTACGTATGATATTAAAAAATAAATAGGATTACTCTTATTTTCTAGCTACTAATTGCATAAGTCTAATGCACTTTATTAAATAAATATCTATTAACTTAACGAAAATGAATAGACACAGATGTCAAAATTGAAATGGTTTAGTCCGTCGAGTCCAAAATGATTAAAAGATGATTGAATGACTAAATGAGCTACAGACTATTTATAGTGCTGGTTGACCAAAGCTGTGTTCGCCAAAGCGTTTATCTGCATATTCTAAAAATAGACAGTTTAATTAAAATAAATAAATAAAATATATTTTAAAAGTTACAACACTAAATTGATTTCATCAGTTAAGTTGAAACTTAATACTAAATTGAATACAACTATATATTATAACATTTTATTACGCATACATAGTTTTTAGGCTGGAATACTCTTCTTTTTTTCTTTTTTCTTTTTAAGGAACGATGGGGTTCTAATTCCTTTCTTCTTCTTTTTCTTGTCCTTGTGTGAAGAATCCTCGGTGGACATTTCTTTAGTGGGTGATCCCTGTTATATATTTAAACAAAAATGTTTTTATTGATTCAAACTTTGTTGATCACAAAAATAAAATGAAAATATAATGTATTACCTCTTTACTACTTGAAAATGTGCTTTGATGAGCATCTGACTGGTCACCATTGTATGTATTTTCTCCTATAAATTATGTATAAAGTAAATACATTATATATTCATATCTTAATTTTTAATAATCCACATGAAATGTTGTATTGATTTAATTATTAATGGTAACAATCATAGGATGTACATAACATAGGGTGTTTGGTAAAAATATTTATCTGCCTGCAACATAAGCATGCAAATTGATTTTTTCACATTTAAGGAAGCTTTGATTTCTAGTTGTTGAGTTTAGTAGGTACCTTATTTTTTGTGTACAACACTATGAATTGTTTACACAACTAAAACTTAAGTTTAATACAAAATACCCGAAAGCAAAAATTTGAAAAATTTTCACATAGAAATGCTAAGGAAAAACAAAATAATCTAAAAATATCATGGTATAAAGTATTTGCAAGAAATAAGAATAACTTAATAATGTCGAATGAAAATTTTGATGCCCTAAGAGTTCTGCAAAATAATCGAATCAAGCATTAGACAAACAATCAAACTGTAGGATAATCAAGGCGAGTATCTTAAATCCTGATCCAAACCTTTGACAACAAATACATATAAATATAAATGTATTGGAGGTTTAACATGAAATACATTTTATATGGTAATTAACTATTGGATAATAATATAAATTGAATATGATTTTATTTTATAATTTATTGTTTGTATGAAAATGAAACGAAAACACAATATAATAAAATAATAAAGTAGTTTTAATATCAAAATTTTTTTATCTACAAAATATGTTAAATTATTTAAAAAGATAAATTTAATTTAATACAGTTACATAAAAATAATTAAAAGAGAAAAAAGGCTAAATAAATAATAGTAAATAAATCTATTGATGAAATTAAATTTTAAAACTGATAATTTATTTTTACAATCTTACATGATTAAATAACTTTAATAATGATAAAAGGTTATGGAAAAATCAAAACAGGTTTCCGATGTGTTGTTATTTTAAAAGTTCAATCAAGCAAAAATCAAATACATTATCTTCAATATTCACAAGAACTTGACATGGAGGAACTTAATTTGCATTTACTTGTTACGCGGTCTCTTTTTTCACAAATTTCTTGAACGTTTACCATATTAGCAGTAGATGGTAATGTAATCCACATAGGTTAAAGAGTAGTTTCTGAATAATCACTAATGTCACACTCATCTTGTACTAATAATTGAATACATAGATTGACATTAAAATTTATGACATACTAAGAAGTAGCACATACATTTTGAAAATAGTAAAAATTGAATAATAAATTTAGTGTTGATAATATTCTGTATCATTTAACATATTTTTTGCAATGTCAAAATATCCACTAAAATACATCTTAATTAAAAAAGCTTACTTACTGGCCACTAAAAAGTTCTTTTGATAAATAAACTTAATTCAGTTATTTTAAGACATAAAATCAAAGATATTACAGTATTTTAATTAGTTCCTATAAAAGAGGTTGAAGAGAAATTTAACTACAGATTTTATAAATGGATTGCGAAAGAAACATTTACCCCATAATTAGCTAGTAACGTACCATTATTTTGAAATCTAATGAAGTAACAGTTAAAAATGATATATCAGGAATACATTAATTGAAAAATATGAATACTTCGTTCATTTTTATTAATTTTATAAACATTTTACAAGATATTCTATTACGAAACTGAACTGAGCTTATATAAACAATTGGATTTTGAATTAAAATTATCTAATAATGTTGTATAATTGAATAACATACCTTCACTTAGAACAAATTCAGCTTGGTCGGGTTTCAGCACAGATTTTCTTTCTACTTGCAACACTCTGGCTTCTGAAAAATTAGTTTCAACATAATTAATTAATTCTTTAAGATTTTGAATTTTACTTATTTTTCATTCTTATATTACCTGCTCTACTATCATCTTCAGTTTCACTAATAATAAATGCTTCAGTTTGCCTAGCTGGTGAAAAGTGAACACTATCCAATTGTTCTTTAATATCTATAATTTGATCCTTATCTATGGGTTAGAAATAAAAAAATTCATAAATTATCATTAGAAAATACATTTTATTTAATATTTATACACTAAAACTGGATTTAATTTAAATATTAACCACTTGTACTCCTTTCAACGGCATTTTTATAATATTCAATTTCTTCATCAGTGACAGCATCAAATGGATTCTTTGCATAAGGTGTCTTATAAACAGTTGCGTTATGTTGAAAATTACGTTGTATTATTCCTTTTGATGCAGCACCCACCAAAATAACTTGGTCGCTGTTTGTGTTTAAGTTAGCATCCTAAGTTAAAAATAATGTTAGATGCAAGTACTTTTTTTTGTTTAACCTAATAAAAATTATATTAAATTAATACTTGTAATTTTTTTGCTTCTTCCCAAGAAACACCATCTAAAATTTGGGATTGGGGCCCTGAAGTAATTTTATCAGCTCTTCGGTTTTCTTTAATCTTAGGATTTAACAAAAAATTATAAGTATAACTTATGTATACAAATAAAATATTCATATTATTATTACTTGCTGCTGTAGTTTTTTGAACTCTTTTGGATTAGTATTTTTTGGAACAAATTGCAGAGGTCCTTCTATTTTAAAAGGCGTACTTGAATTTGGAGAAGCTTCAGATACCCACTAAAAAATTATTACTATTTTTTAAAATTTAAAGTATTACAGTTAACGTTAGTTTTAAATAATATTATAAATAATGAATATGTTATGACTATAATATATACTTTTTGTATGATTGTTTAATACATTTCAAATATCAAATTATTCTCCTTAAATCAAGTTATTTGCACACGATGTATGATGCAGAAACTATGTTTAGGTGTTAAAGCAGCATATTATGTTGAAAAACATACTCAAAAACACAACCATAATATTTAATTTGTATATTTTTTTCTGGGGTATGTATAAAAACACAATATAATACAAGCATAATTTATTTTTAAGTTAATTTTAACTTAAAAATAAGAGCAATTTATCTATGATTACATATTACAATTAATATAATCAGTAGGACAGAACAGACCATTACAATATATTGACTACCATAAATCAGAAAAAAAAGAAAATATTTTATAATTTTTGATGACTACAAATATTTTGCATGATAATTGAGCAACATCCACAATCCCATGTTTTAATTGCAATTTTGAGTTTTGTTATCAAGTCAGACCAGAGAGAGGAAGAAAAAACAATAACAAATATAAAAGATCCTAAAAAAATACTATTGATACCAATTACCAAACAATACTTATCTAAGTATCTAAAACATAGTTGTATTTATTTAATACATGGTAACAAGAATTTTTTAGTGTGTAACCTAATTTAACCACATTATATAGTTTGATTTATAAACCATACTTAATAAATACCATATGAAAGACTCAAACTAGTAAATCTTGAAACAAAAATAAATGTGTAGTTATTTATTGGTATAATTAAATTATGTGAATTTACATTTTCAGAATGTTATAAATATATTTCTATGATTCAATTACAATAAACTATAAATTGGTAGCAAAGCGAAAATTTATTACAGAATTTGTCAAAAGCACTTAAACTAAGTGTTATTAAGTTTTGATAAGCCCAAAATTAAGGTGTTGTAAAATATAATTATAAAAACAAAATTGATTAATAATACTATCTTAATCTAATAACAATGTAAAAATGTTAAGACACAACACTACTGCCGTTAGAAGTGTTAACATTAAACATTATAAAGTATAAATAAATGTATCAATTAAAATTAAAATATTACTTTTGGGTTAAATTCATAAATTATAATAATTAAAATTAAATAAAAAAGGTATTCATTAAAATTGCGGTTAACCGAATACATAAATATTAATTTTTGGTGTCTACCTTAGTGATTTTTTTAGGATCTGTTGTCCCAGTTTCAAGAACTTCCACTTTTTGGTACACATTTGGTGAATTTAACCATTTGGTTCTATCAGTTGATTTGCGGCCATCATAATATTTTTTCCATTGTCTAATAAAAGTAAATGATTTAACAATATGTTATTATTTACAGAAAATAAATACAAAACTTAACTTACCCATTTTTATATAGCTCTTCTTCTTCTAATAAATATCCAAGAGAAGAAACTGCTGGTGGTACCTCGACATCATTACGAGGGCGGGGGGGTTCACCTTTGATAAGTGGTTGTCGGTATATATAACCTGTACGAAAACCCTATGAAATAAATTAATATTAAATTATTAAAACTGTATGTACATGCATTAATTTGATTAGCAAAAATGAGTTCAGAACAATTAATTCTCTAGGATTTTTATTTTGTGTTGAAAAACAACTACTTTCACTAGTCACAATTTGTTGATATAAATTTACTTTTTAAAACTTCATTTTAAGTTATAGTCAAACTTAAATATAATTATATGTCAAACATTACTCTAAAACTTTATAAATAAGAAGTTGATATTTTTTTTCATTTCCATCAAATTTGTTGTATATTTTACAGTTGTATTTCAACTATTAAATAATTAAACTCAAAGGTAAAACACTTGTAAATAAAACATACATACAATAACAAATTTCAATTATTGATAGATAACATTTATTAGTTGAGCTTTATTGAACTAGAAGAGTGATTGAAAATTAAGTGTTTAATAATTGTTAATGAGCCCTGTCGAAGCATATCTTAATCATATTTTAGTAAGTTTTAATTATTTATCTAAGAACATACTGCATTGTCTAGCATTCTCATAAGTGCTTCAAATTGAAGACCTCCAACTCTCCAGCGTTTATCTGCAACAGCTCCTCCTGCAGGTAATGGGGAAGGTACAGTACCTTCTGGTGGAAACCTAGCAGCATCATAAATGAATTTGCATTGTTCATCAGTCATTGTCATGATGTTATCTAATCCCGCAGGTAATACTTTCAGCTAAAATGTAATAAAGAATGTATAAATAAATTATAATAAAACCACTAACTACACCATAAAGTATACCTGTGTTTCACAAGCTGTTACAATATTATATGCATTGTAAAATGCTTCTTCTATTGATTCACCACAACAAACTGCACCATGATTAGTGAAAAAAATAACCTAAACAAAAAATATTGAATTTACAGAAATAATTGTGTGTTAACATTGTTAATTTAAGGTTAACTTCTCCTAGTAAATAAAGAACTCTTTGGTAATATGTTCAATAGTGGAAACATAATTATGACATTACTATGTAAAAACAAATATGTGGATAAATAAATAAAAAAGCTTTAATGTAAAGCACTTAATACCTTATTAATAGGCCCTAAGCTTCTAGCAATTTTGTCTTTTTCATCTGGATCTACAGTAGATCCTGGGTATGCATAGTGTGAGACATCCCCAATCAATGCACTTTCTTTACTTATGTGCAATAAGCCACAGCGTAATGATGATACAGCCAAAACAGGTCCTCTGCAAATAAATGATTAAGAATTAATTTATGGAATTTAACATTAATCAGAAAAAGTAACTTACACTTGTACATCAATGATAGCTTTCAAATCGGGCCTTGCTGCATAAATAGCAGCGTGAAGTTGAAATGTAGTTATGTTAACACCATAATTTGTAGTTCCAGGTTCCATAACATGTCCTTGCATATCCACTTTAATTAAGCTAGAAGCTGTCACTTCGTTACATAATAGACCATATGGGCTAACTAAAAAATGTTCTTCTTCTTGATTTAATCGAGCCTAAAAATAAATTATCATCAATGATTAAAATGCATTAATATATAACTAAAATAGTATATAAGAAAAAAAACCAACAAACAGGCAATATTCAAATTTTTGATTAAAAACATTTATTTGAATATCTAACATTGGTAATTTTAATTTTATTTAAAAAAAATTAAATAGCAATGGTAATAAAACTTATATTTACAGAAACTTGGTTATAGATTCCTTGGGTCCAGCCATATAAATCCATTAATCTGAATACTGCTGCTAATTTGCATCTGATAATTTTTTCACCTTTGGCATATCCCATACTTTCTACACCACGAATATCATTAATTGGAACCACACAATTCGAAGCTACAATCATAAGTTATTTTTAATATAAGCATAAATAGTACTAATTATTAATAGAAAAAATTCTTTTTTTTTAACAAAGTATACCATACTAACATTTAGAACCTCCAGATGGACGCCCACCCATCATTTCTGAAATTTGTTGTAAAAGCCCAGCAGGAACAGAACCACCATCTTTCATTTGCACTTCAATTATTCTTTCCAGTTCTTCGCGAAACAAACGGGAATTCATAATCATTTCTACTCTTTTCCGTCGTTCCATTTCTCGAACATCCTACAATATTATAATAAGCAACCATTAATTAAATATTTATCATAATCTCAATTTAACTGACAAAATTTGACTAATACTCACAGCATCAATGTCTGCTGGTCTCATTTTTCCACGTTCATCATCATCATCATTTGTATTTGCATATCCATTGCTCTGTGGTGGTTCAGCTTCTATGTCAGCCATATTTTTAGAATTAAAAATTATTTAACCTATTAAAACAAAAAAGATATAAGTAATGTGTATAATAGTTATATGAATACATAATTCACTTTTATCCATAACCATTTGTCAGTTTTAAGTTGGTATATAACATTCTTATTACATAACAATATTTTATTAATTGTATACATAGAATTTAGATATTTAATATTGTATTCACATATTTTATCAACTAGTAAATATCAACAGTTTCACATGGGTTTTGGTGTTTTACACATTCAAATTATATTTCAAATGTATAAAGACGGCTAAATAAACTGCATTTTTTTTTACACAAATTATATTATTTTAGTAGATTTAAGTTAAAATTAAATATATGCTTTGTAATTGGAAGAATAAAAAGTAAATTTAGCTTTTATCCTAAAACATTTACATTTATTGAGTACATAATTTGTCTTAAATACAATTAGGTATTTGAAAATGTATACCTTTAAACAAAAAATATTACTCGTTTAAAATTGTAAAACGCAAAAAAAATTTAAAACAGTTTTCAGGGTTTAAAAATTATTTGCTGTTGTACCGTACCTATATAGTGATTAATGTGGATTTAATACAATACCTAATATTAATTTATATAATACCTATGGGTACTCATTAATGTATATTAAATAGGTACGCACAATTACTTATATAAGTTGAGAAATATTATTAGTAATGTTTATTGCTTACTACCTACTTAATATAATTTTTTTTTCATGATGGACATAATGTATTTTTTTTTAATTTCCATATAAGACACTGTTTTTCACGGTCTTCAATTACAATTTAAGTAGTACCACAGTTTTTAAACATATTTTTTTCTGTATTTATAATTCTTGTACTTAAATTTAAATATTTATAATTTATACAAACATTTAAAGGCCTATCAAAAATGGCTTATTTAATACTACTAAGTATTTTTATGTCTGAGATTATTGATATTCAATACATGAATGAGGTTATCATGGTACATTGTACACCAGATTATTTATAAGTAAAATTCTGTTTTTGCACTGATAACTAAATAGTAAATAGTAGGAAAATCATAAAATAGAAAGTGATCTATTGTGTTTGTTTTTATAATACATTAATGAATGATAATGTTCATTGTAATAAGTGATCATTAGGAAATGCTAATATATCATTATTATACTTTGACCTTAATAATATATAATCATACAAATTCCATTATTATTGTCTACCTACCTCCTAAATAAAAGAAGGTTAGAGTTCTAATTAGGAAACAACTTGTTACTAAGTACTCAAATGAAATAAGCATAGGCATAAACTGGTGGAGGGACAACTGCTAAATCTAAAAATTTAAAGGGATAATGCCTTATTTAGTATTTTGTAAATTTATTAGAAAATTTATTTTCTGTCACATATTTTTGATACACCAAGCATACTCTAATTATAAATGTTTTCTTTCTATTCCCACAAGTTTTGCTTTGTTTTTTAACTCTTTGTCGCCTCAACAAATTTTAATAAAAAACACCATGGACCAAGAAAGACTTAATAACTTAGCTATTTTATATATTGAAAAGACTTTTAAAATTAATTTTAATAAAATTATTGATCAGTATATCTAATGAATATTCAACAGAAAGAGGAAGAAGACTTAAATTGACAAATTGAATCATAGATATTTTTATTTAAATTTGAATATTAGAATGTAGCAATGTTATAATATTTGGTATAACTTTTTAATAGCATTATTAATATAATCATTTATCATATTTAATTGTTTATTAATTATAACAAATTATATTTACAATGCACTATAAAAACTGTAAAAGTTGCGCCCATTGAAACATGTACCTAATTCATGAGCATAAAATATGAAATATAACAAATGGGTATATTAAAATTGGCATTTCCAAAACGCTAAATATATAAAAAGATATAATTTTAATGCAAGTAGGTAGGAAGGCATAGGAAAAAATATAAGTAGTTAATACATAATCCAACAGTAGGTACTTTGTACCTATAACATTTTATTTAATTAAAGCTTATATTATAATATTTCAATGACACACTTTTTGGAATTTATTGGTTTCTTGAAATATTTAATAACAGCACATCTATCCACTACGGTTACCCCTACTTTTTAGCTCAATATATTCTCGCACCACCCATGACTTGAGTATTAGTGATGATAATTGATCAAAAGTCAAAGTTATAATTAAATCAATAAAAAAAAGTGTAAAGCCGGGTTCACAGTTATGTTGTCTGTTTCGTCATGTCAAAGAGTTGAACTCGACCCAACTCTGGAAATTTCCTGGTAGATCATGGATATTAAATGATACCATGATAGGTACTACGGAAAACCAGAATATGATAAAAGACTGTGAATCAGACTTTAGCCAAAAAATACTTTTTTCATTTATTGGTAACCATGGCAATAAAAACACAACCGACCAATGGACAAATACAAATGCATGACCATATTTTTAAATTAATGTTAAGTTTATATGTACAATTAGTAGGTACACAGGTACTAAGGAGCCCTTAATTAATAATAAAATACCTAGATACATGATATATTAATATGTTTAAGCTATTTTTGTTGAATTTCTATCCCTAGTTTTATTTATAACTAGCTGCTTCTATGCACTTTGTTGCCTGTTAAAAATGCCTACTCCATATGAGACTTGCTTGTGATAATGCAAGTAGTATATTATTAGGTAGAACGCAGCTAGATGCGTACTATATCTGACCAATTGCAACTCACGAACAAAAAAAATAGGTACTATTTTATAATTTCTACTTAATATATTTTTCCCATAACCAATTAGCAACCATTTATAAACAAATATTTCCTTAATAAATATCAAAATCCCCGTTTGAGCACACTCCAGGCTCCATCTACTGGGTCCAATTGTGAATCTAAATCATTCAGGGAACGACTCAAGCACACACAAAATATTTCTTCAAAATCAGTCCAGACGTTTAGAAAGGCATAAAGAACATACAGACATTCATTTACATATATACCTAACTACATAGATAAGCATTTTAAACAATTTTTATCATACACAAGGTATCTTATAATTGGAAATAAAATACAATAAACATACCTAAGTATAGAATTTTAAAAAAATGTAAAAACCAAATAAAAAAATTTATTTCATTGTCCGCAGACCACTTAACAGATAATATTTTGAGCTAATAACAGACGTAAGTAACATAAAGTTATATTATATTTTTACTACCAATAGTTAAATAAGCTTTGACCTCATATTATCTAAAAAAATATTTATAATTAGGTAATGTTAAAAAAAAAAACACTTATTCATAATCTTTAGCTCGTTTAGTTCATTCTTAATACTGTTTATCTTTATTAGGTATAATTTTGTTTTACATGGGTACCCAATGCAATTAATATAAATCTATGTTAACATAATATCAGTCTTAAAAAAATATGGAGCTATTCATTATTTAGTAATCTAAATGTACTATGCTGAGTTGCCTACCTATCTACTACACTACTGCATGATTATTGTAATTAATCATTTAGCTGCCTACCATGTATAAACACGTTTAGATAAAAATTCTGTGCATGGTATAATAAGCATATTATAATTAGATGTTTAGAAAGATGTTTACATACATTAGCTAAATGTTATGATACCTACATACAACAATTAAATTTGATGTAACAAAACAAATAGATTAATTTATTAAAAGAATGTTCATAATGTACATGAAAGAAAAGAGAATATTTTACTATAAATAATAAGAAATTACAGCATATAATTTTAATGGTTTTTAAGTTACCTATGTACAAAAAGTTATAAGTAATTGTCTACATCATTAGATAATATTAATGTTATTTAAACTATTGGAAATTCATTATAGATTTAATGTACATCAATCTAATATGTATGAATATTAATAGCTACATAACCATTAATTTACTTATGTAATTAAATTATAAGACAATTAGAGTAAATAGGTACATAAGCAAATTATGTAAAGTAAAAAGAAAACATTGCAATTTAATGATAGGTAGGTAAAATAACAATGAGGCAGATGTGTAATTTATTCGACATTTAACACAATATCTCGTGTAGGCAGATATAATAGGCAACAAGTAGACAAGTGGTTACAGCATGTGATGACTGATCACAGAGCGACGCCTGAACCTAAATGACAAATATTTTTCAGCGTCAGCAGGGTGATCGATCAAAAACCATGTACCTGTGTCGGTCAAGACGACCGGTATCGGTTAAAAACGACATACGGGAGTTCAATTTCATAATTTAAGTACCTACAACAACCTGACAAAAAAAATAATATTGCAGGATGGTCAATCGTCTGCAGATAATCATTGTAACACGACAGATTGTACACAAACATGGATCGCATAATAATCTTGTAATAGGTAATGATAGTAATTATACAATATGCACATACCCTCGTTGTCCTATATTATACTGAACGATGATACATAACTATCACAGTATACGCGAATATCGGTATTTTTTTAATAAAATATTATCAATTATTTAAAAAAAGAAATACCTAATAGGATTGCAGTAACTAGTAATTGTGCGGACACACCCAGGCACGGCCGTTGTTGGTTTATTATAATACCGCCGTAAAAGGACGAGAAAGAAACGTGCTCGTAAATCGGAAGCAGCGACGTGCGGGGGACGAGGACTTCACGCGCTGACGCCGGACCGGGCCAAAAAATTATTGCGAGACGACGGGATATAAAAAAACCGAAAAATCTTCACGCGCACGCGCATACACGCTATGCGACGGAATTTTTTTACACACACAAACTACGGCGTGAAAAAAAGTAGGCGGCGGTGACCGGAGAAGAGGAGGATGCGAAAACGAAAATTTAAATTATTAAATTAAAAAAAAAACGGACGAACCGACAGCGGACGCTGACGCTTGACACGGAAATTTGGCGCGCCCCACCGCCCCGCACCTCACCCGACGACGCTTTTGAGCGTTTCCGGGCGGGTTCCGTTGGTCAAAACGTTAATTATCATTATTATTATATCTCGTATTATCACGTCCGTTATTGGAACAGTGCGCTTACCGCTTATGACGTGCAGGAACAGCACTTCCCCAGTAGTGGTGGGAGGGGGAGGTGAGATCCGGATCGATCGACGACGGCTGTGCTTCACGCCGCTTGTCCGCGAAAAGTGTTGCGCGGCGCTGGTGAATATTTGTCGCTGGATATGTCGTCGTATTCCGTCCGTTCGGTCAGGAGGACATAATATTGTTATTCGCGTTCGAGCCGGTGGCGGCGCGGACAAAACGACCGGAATAAAAACGTACCGCGAAAGACAACAAATGTGAGGTTCCGCGGGGGGAAGGACAACGATTTACTACTGCGGCGGCGGCACACTGACGTCGGACTGTCGGAGGCGGCGTCGACTGGTCGACGGTCGTACGCGCAACACACTCACACACGCACACACACACACACACACACACACGCACGCACGCACGATACGTACGCTCTCAAACACTCGCGCGCACGCACTGACACGCACACTCAAGCGGACAGACGGACTCCGCAACGGTAAAGTACACCAACACAGGCACACGGACACGTGCACTCGCGCACTCGCACGAGCCGTCGACCGAGTTAATGACTCCAAAACACGAACCGCAAAAACAAATGGAATCCGTGGCCGCCGCCGCCGCCGCCGCCGCCGCCCGTTCGTTCGACCGGAGATACGCCCGCGCGTGCGCGAGAGTGCTTCGTTGTGTGTCGCTTGCGGGCGGGCGCGCGTGCGTGCGCGATAGTTTGGTGGCGGAGAGAGTGCCGCGGTTGCGATCGTCGTCGGCCCGTCGGCGATTCCGTTCATTCGGGCGTGTGGGACTGCGGCGGCGATGCGGCGTCGGCGCGTCCCGGTGGATCGTGGCCGGCGCGCGAGTGGCAACACTGCGACACCCGCCGACGGCGGACGGGCGGAACGCCGCCGCGGAAATAATATCGTTATTGTAACGCTCTTGTCCACAGCACCATTATTATCGTACGGCCGGCGAAGCCGCTGCCGGAGTAGCCTGACTACAGTGACGGCCGGGCGTCGACACTCGACGATGTCCACCGCACTTGCGTGTGGATACATTTTATAACACATCTATAAGTGTGTGTAACGGCTACGTCTGCGACCACCTAACGGCGTTGGTGATCGTAACTCATAAAATATTATGGACGCGACACGCGATTCCCATTTCCGTTTTCGAGAAGTTCTCTCTCCCTCTCTCTCTCTCTCTCTCTCTCTCTCTCTCTCTCTCGAGCAGTAGTCGGATCCCATCTCATTATTTCATAGAATGTTATGGCGATCGCGCCTAGATCGAGTGGGTGATAAATAATCACCCACCTACCCACACACATAATATGCGTCCATTGCCCATAATATTTATACCGTAGCTACCTGTTCGGTTTCCGACGGCGTGTCGGTAATCTCTGCGGCCTTCCGGTACATAAAATTACAATATAAGTTCATCGATTGGCGTCCCTAAGCTACTTACATCACTAACCAGCAGCTTTATACCAATATGTACCTACAGCTAGTATACCACTTAAACGCAGTTACTGTCATAGCCCGTAGATAGCTAATATGATGGTAATGCTGCCGACTGCCGTGCCGGTTTGCATAAACAATCACTGAACGTATTTTAATGAATCAATAGTGAGCTAATGGTCCCTTAAACATGATTTAATGGCCCTTGATTGGTCTATTAAATTTTATCAAACCATTAAATTAATTAATTTTTTATGCAACTTACCTACCATTAGTTTATAAGTATTCAAATCTTACATCATAATATACAATATATTGTAGTTAATGTATGTGATCTAAGATCTCAATCAATGCATATGCTGTAGTAAGTTGATTATGAGTTGGGATTTCAAATTTTTAATTTTATTTTCATTAAGATAAAATAATCGTAATTTTTTTAGTATTATTAACATCTAAAAGATATGTACCAAAACTGTACACAAAATCCCAACTCCATACCAAAAATTGACCATGCCATCAATGGAATGCACACACATATGGGGTAGGAGAGGGTGTTGTAATATTTATTTATTACATGTGTAAATAGATGTATACAAATTAATACAATTTAAAAAACATATATGTGCCTGGTGCATATACTTATATATATGTACAGAATTTTTTTTATACAAACTATCCCATTGAAAATATCTGTGTACGCCACTGACTGTCACTTGAATCTACAATAGTATAAGGATGTCAGGATATTATTATGATTAATTGTTTCTTTATAGGTATCTACAGGTTTCTCTTGTAAATAAATTGTATACCTATGGCATACCAATTATAAATTAAACATATTTTACTACTTTAGTGAATTTGCTATTTAGATGTTTTTTAACAACTCAATAAGACTATACTTCGTCGAAAGTCATTTCAATGCCCTAAACATGGTGAAATACAATTGTTAATTATACACACCTCTATTATTATAATTATTACTATTTAGTATTTACTATGATATTTTATAAGTCTCTTACATCGGGCTAAGTCATCTCCCTCACAAACAAAACCATCGTTATAGGTAGGAAGAAAATTCTTTACCGTTATTTATGTATATATAGATAGAGTTTTGATATTACGGCTTTTGCGCATTCACAGCTCTATAAAACCAAAGAAAAGAACTATAAAATATATAATATATACTTAAATTTATTTTTCGTATCAATTTAATTTTGATGATGATTAATAGTAACAAAAATTTAAGTTGTTGTATCAACTTGCAAAGTTGCAATATGATATACCTTAAGCGTTCATTTATCCTAATAACCGTCACATAGCTATAAAATATAATATTATTTGGTTTAGAGTTTTCTTACTAACGATTTCTAGGAAAACTGTTAGGCAATTCTAAAAATGTCCTTTCACAACACCTACCAATGTGTAGTTTATTTATCATTTATTGTGAAGTGAAATTGAATATTTTTACTGCTCAGAAAAAAAGTAGGTACGTATATACTAACCACATCTTTAAAAAACCAATAGTTCGTGAATCAATGTGTAAAAAGTTCAAATATTATTCATAGTTAGTAACGTAGTAAGTTATTCAGAACCTAAGTTATTTTATGCAAGTTTAATGAATTTTAAGCTTCGTGTTGGACTATATAAATTCTAATACCTACTAATCGACTAAAATATTAGTTTAATATTTAATAATAGGTAGGTACCCAATTAATACAAATAAAAGCACATGCTTCCATTATTAGAATATAAAAATTAAGCATATGATTTTAGACTATTACTAGGTTTTACGGTGTTAATGTGTTATCATTGAAATATTACCTATTTACCTATGCGTTTATATTAATAATAGATAATAACAAAATAATTTTTTTAATACATTTAATGATTTTTAGACCGTGTTTAGTATATTTTACCAATACCTTTTATTTCTTGTTAAGATATAAAAATATATAATTATATAGAGCTAGTATAGACTAACCAATATCATATAATAATTTTTTTTAATGAATTTCTATCATCGGTCCCCTAAACAGTGACAATATGTTATTGTATCCATACCCAGTACATATATTTCCCCTTATTTACACTGTATAAAAGTGAGTATAACTTTGTATATCGTATACCTATGTAGGTACGTAGGCATACTGTTCATTATTTCCGGAGTAGGATTACACTAGACACTAGACTACTAGAGTGAACCATAATGGTAGCTGAGTATACCTACTTTAATCAATACATGTTTAAGGAAATCCCTTCATCCGTGAATATTTGTTGACATATTTGGTTACGTATCAATGGGCTCAAATATATATATATTATATAATACTATTTAATCATTCTCTCATTAAGAACCTGGATAAGTCAAATACGTAGTTGACATCATAGGTATCCTAGCAGACGCCACAATACGAAATTATTGTCGAGAACGCTTTGCAACGGCATAGTTGTTGAAGGCAACTATTATTTTTTAGTTTGTACTATTTTTCTAGTACCTATTCTTTTTTTCAATACTGTCATAAGAATCTTAAGCTCAGACCGATTCTTAGATATCCGAGTCCGTAGATATCCATTCGATATTTCAATGCTATATAGGTATATTAATTCATGTTTTTACGAAACAATATCAATGCTTGCCAGATAAAATATTTAATGATTTTTTGTTGGAAATAAACAATTATTGTTTGAATATTATTTCACCTAAAACATTAAAAAGTATTCAATTGTATGTAAATAGTTTTATTTAAATTGCAGGCTATACTGAGCGCTACTAACGAAGTAGCTATATAACTGAATAATACTTATGTGATGAGTTCTGCAAATGTAGTACGCCACCATGTACCAATACTATATATAGTATATAATATAGGTACCTAAATATTATATATATATATATGAATCAGGATATCAGGTCATAGGTGGACATTTTTTTGAATTTGTAGAGAATAGTAGAATTTGTAGAATAATCCAATAATCATTCAAATAGTTTTAATTTTGGGGTCTATTGAAATTTCTAGGGGGCTAAGATGTCCCAGGAGTGGATGTCCACCTATGCATCAGGTATAAGTTCTAAAACTATAATATGACTGTTAGACGTTAGTAAATCAATACATATAATATAGAAGTTTAATAAAACAGCATAAAAAAAATAGACATTAAAACAACGATATTAAAAAATGTTCAACGTAAATAATGTAGAAAGACTAAACATATACCTAAGTATATAACTATAGTGTACTGTACGTGTTCGCATTCGCCTCTCCTATTCATTACAACGATACATTCATACGATGACATCAGCTCAGCTGGCAACATGCCACTTGTTATTTTTATTACTGTTTAACAACTATGAAGGAAGTGGCAGAAAGTATATAGCTTATAGATTTAAATGATTTAATATTACTTTGTTTTCGTTAAATTAAAACAATATTTACAGTTTACCCAACCAGTGACCATGAATTAATGAACTAATGTCTATATAGTATGTCCCTCAAGTCCCGTATCACCCTATAAGTATTTCAGAGAGAGTGTGAGACCACGACACAGCAATATATTTAAATTCTGCTTTTTAACAGTAATCCATGAACAAATTCCAACTTAATGATGTACATTTCTTTTCGATACGAGACTTTTAGGAGTTACGTCTACCTCTACCTGTAAGTATAATCTTACATGTATAAAAAATATTAATATAAATAAGAATTTACAATTTTAATACATAGGTACTAATTTCAAAAATTACACTGTAAAATATTATTTACAATGAGAATATGAGCTGAAAAAAAATTAACATTCTATGACCTACATGAAAAATTAAGTTACACTGCTACTTGGTTACACTTTATGTCTTTTGATTGAATTCCAAAAATGAAAGCTTAAACATTGGTTTTTGATGTTGTGTATAGTTTGTGCCTTATGGTAAAAAGGAGGGGAGTAAAACAGTTCGCAAACATATTTAAAAAAATGTATTTTTGATTCTCATATCGATTAGAAGATACTAACAAGACATAAAACACAAATGTTATTTTAATAGATTTCTACACTAGTCTCTATAAAATAGAGGCTTACAGAAATGATCAATCGTTTTTGTGAGAAATACATAAGAATAATATAATATACATTTAAAACAGTAAAATTAACTACCTATTAAACATTATGAACAATATAAATTGTTACTATGCTTACGAATGAAATGTATTAAACCTTTATATTCTGTATACTGTATATACTGCATAGGTAGGTACTTAAAGTTTAAATTAAAGAAAATTTGATACTTAAATTATATAAGTACTAAACGTTAGGTACATATTTTTTATCCTCTTAATTTCTATCGATACACTTTGTAAGTTGAGGTTTTTGTTTACTGTTGGCTTAAAATGTTAATAAAAGAAGGGTTACTTGCTAACTAAAATCGAATTAGTCACGGTGGTTTTTTAATCATCGTTAAGTAGGTAAGCATTAGCAATATGTCAATATAATATAATATTATAAACTACGGAAACACTAGAAAAAAATGCTTCATTCAGAATCAAGTTAACTTGAAGTTACTTCAAGTTAAAATATTATTTAGAATTCATTTAAAATTTAAAAAATAAATGGATAGGTAACAAAAGTCTATTGAGTAGGTTAGGTAAGTATTTTTCACTGAAAAAAGTAGAGATAAGTGAACTATACAATTTTACTTCAATATTTTAAATTAGAATAATAATATATATTCGTAAAAAATATTAACTCGTATAATAAAGTTGAATGCGGTTTTAGTAACAACTACTAATTGTGTTATCTTGTTTGCGTTTTTTAAAATAATATTTATGGTATAGGTACCATTATTATTATAGCCAATAGATTGTATAGTGAATAATACGGTTCTTGGGTTGTATATTACTACCACGGGTCACGCGTACTTCGAATAATCTGTTTGACCATCAAACATATTAAAGTGTAATTTTGAATAAAATATTACGAAATTATTATGTATTGTACTATATTATTATGACCGTGCACGGTCGTATTATTGTCATTACTCATTATGTGTAGAAGTTATTGTTTCACTCAAACATTGAGATCGGAATTCGGATGACTCTTGAAAACGACAACAACATAATAATATAATGTCGATGAAACAATAATATAAATATACAATATGCCATACACCATTACTGTGACATTATAAAGTAATGCCAACAATATATAATTATCAGTCGTAGGTATATATAATAAAATATTATACATTAAAAAAAAAAATACGGATTAACCATAATCATTGTTGTAATAATATAAAAACTGAAGAAAATATAAAATAATGTTGTTGCCATTTTCACTATAGTATAAGTCATATTCATATATACAGACTTTCAGAATATAATATTTCCTATCCGTACAAATGTACAAAAATAAAAAAAAAATTACAACGTCAGACTTCGTGTTCTATTGTATTACCTAATATACTAATAAATATTGTTCCGTCTTTCGGAGATAATAAGTTCAAAGTTGATCATTTAATTAATTAAGTGCGCGATGGCTTTACGCGTCGTCATGAATCATAATACCTAGGTATTATATTATTAACAAAATACGAGTATGATCGCACTCTAATATAGGCACACAGCTACACTAAAAGAAACAGTGCCTCATTATGCCCTCTCCATCCTCATACATAATTACTCGTGTTGTGGGTATTTTAATATAAGACATTATTATTATGTATGGGTAGGCACATATAGAAAAAAAATACGCTCATAATAAAAACACGAATTTGTCATCGTAGCAGTCACTATAACGAAGTACATATAGGAGATTTATAACCGGGAATTGAGAGGAACCCTGTATGGAATACTGTTTGATCGGGCATGGTGTTCGCCGTTAGCATCAGGAGTTTTTCCGCCGCCAGTGGATGCCAAATACCAAATGTACACGTCACGTCGACTTTTTCGTGATAGTAATGACATCGGTGTGTCATTCTTTCAGACGGTATGAACTCAAACATGTTAACGACCGTGCATCGCGGCAACAGCATTGCTAATCCTATTAATCAAAATCGAAAATAATATAATATAGGTACATAATAATAATATACAACACACATTTCATGTAGGTATAGATTAGTAGAGTAAGTGTAACAATACGCCACCGCGTACATGTCTGCAGCACTATAATGTAGGTACCTAATACCAGCCATCCGCTATCGGTAATTACCGTAACGGTTCGCAAGTGTTTATTACTATATCATATATGTATATTGTATACACAAAATATAAATATATTATACATATATATATATATAGGGTGTAACTGGAGTAGGTATTTGATGATTTTGTACTGAAATTACGTATAAATATACCTATCATATCTTCCGCATATACCCCGTATACAATATAATATGCACAGTGCCTGTGTCTTAATTAACTATTGTGTTTTCATAGTAAACCTGTTATTATTTTGCCCACGTGAGCCATCATAAGTTTAAATATATATTTTTTCGTAATACATACGTTACATCAGTCTATTCATTATCGCGGTAGTCGTTTACTGGTATCACCATTACCCACACCTCGGTATAGGGGGGGCTTTTATCCCAATACCCCCAGATCTAACATGACGTGTAGGTATAGCCGTATAGGTATACCATATGCCAAAGTCTCAATCCAAAGTATTGTATTGTATAGTATAGTATATGTATAACTATTTATAGCTCAACAAAAAAAATAAATTGCTGTGACCAAAAAATAATAATATGCCTAGCTACATATTTTTATAGTGTTATTATTATTTGGATGTGTTTTATGATTTGTTACAGATATTTGTAAGAATTTAAATGAACCAAATAATTTTATATTTTATGTATTATATGAATATTGGAAATACCTACCTACATTGAGAATATTCATATTGGAAAATATACTAAGGAACACATATTCTAAAAATAATTTAAATATATTATTAACTTGTCATATTTGGTTGGAAATTTGGTTCATTTCAGGAAATTAATTAATAATTATACTTCTTTAAATATATAAAAAAAAAATACTCTACAGAGAACGTATTTCCTATCGTTTTTGTTATTAATGATTAATCACAGTAAAATATAAAACAAATTGTACATAATAGGTACAAGTATTATTTCTGCATAATACTATACATAGTTTACATGCTTGAAATATAGTTTAACTATGTCATCTCCATACAAGTCATACCACATAAGTGAATTTGACCACATAATGTGTAAAATACAAATGCATTAGCTTATTATATTTTACCTAAAAATCCCGAAGATGGAGGATTGCGTCTTATATGAGCTGTAGTATGATCTTGTATGTAATCCCATAGACGCCACAGATATTGTGGATGAACGACATGAAAGTTTGATCTTGGATTAGATTTTCTAAATGATATGTAGTTGTCAATAAAGTTATGTTCAGGGTTCGTAATCCACTAAAAGTAAACAAATAAAAATTATAATCAATGAATAAATCGATTAAACTAACTAATCATAATATTATATTGTAGTTGATATGTGATTGATTACTTCGTTAATTGACGATGTGTAATTTGATGGATCCCACATCAACAGTTTGAGCCGTTTGTATAATGGAGAAGATACAAATTGGAATTGTGGTTTAGTGACAACTTGTGAGTTTAAAATACGTATTGTTGTCTTTGAGCCCACATCTTTTTCATATCCTTTAGTTGGAGCATTGTTGAACCGTAATACTAAGTCATGTTGGTCTAAAAACACGAAAAGTAAACTTTTATATACTTTATATACGTTACATTATACTGTGCATATTATATGATACTAGTTATTGACTAATTAAAAAACTATGTTGAAAGGTAAGAAAATTATAAATAATATAATAATATAATATATTATTAAAATATTTCTTATAATCTGTCTATTCTGTCATGTTATGATGCTTGAGTTAAATTTTAAAAATGTTTTCAAGAACTCCAATGATCGAGTTTAGATTTCAAATAAAAAAATTATTGAACAATAAGTAAAATTTAAATCGTCATATTATAAGTTATTTAACTGTAATATTGTTCTTAGGTATATTTCGATAAAAGTATTTCGGAGTACTGCAGCATACATATTAAGGTTTAATTATTTCGTAAGTTTATAATTGTTTTTCCATAGGTATCTTTTTGAATAATGTTTATTATATAATGGCATAATGCAATAAAAATACACAAATTATTTTATTATTTTATTTTATGATTTCATGCGGATACTTTCAACATAATAAGATATTAAATATAATGTATTATTATATTAATATTCTTATCTATATTGGTATTCATTACACAATACACTTGATTGTTATTCATTCATTCAGACGAGTGTGAATACAAATTATTAATGACATAACAAATTCGACAACCTATCTATTATACTCAATATCTATATGTATGGGCGTATGGCTCAATCAAAAATGTGTTGAATTTTTCACCTATGAAGTATCCGAGATTTGAATTGCGAAGAGTAGCAGCATTGGATATGATTGCACAAGTGCCGAATACTTCATTATCGTCAAATAGTGGTACATCCGGAATATTTTTTGTCAATAAATGATCAATGTCATTTTTTTCTAATGTTCTAAATTTCTCCACGCTGGAAGCCATATCACACGTCCAGTCGCTTTTTACGTTATTCGGTGCTTGCGGTCTATACGGAACATTGTAAGGGTTCTCGTTTTTGACGGACCCATAATTGCTATTCTCCTTCATTATCACTTGCCTAAGACGGGCAATGATTTTATTTTTGAAATTAGATAACCTGGAATTATATATACATATTATTATTACATTAAGTCAGTCATTTATATGGATATAAACGCATGCCATAAATTGTATTGTAGTGCAATAGACGTTTAATTACCTACCTACTTACGCACGCGATGTTTGAAAATATATCATATTTTTTATATTATCGTCTAGACTCAAGAGTATATTATTGTATTCGACTATTATATTAGATTTAACCTATTGTTTGTAGGTAGTCAGAGTTATTGTTTGACAATTAATGTAATGACGTATAAATAATGAGTTTAGCTGTTCTAATTACTTTAAAAATAACTGTTTACATTAGACGAAAATTTAAATAAAATATAATTATCTAAATAAGGAATACTCATATATTATCTTACAATCATATCTAATACCTATTGTCCCAATTATCTAATGGTTATCTTACATATGAAATTGTCTTATCTAGATTTACATCTATGGATTTTATTTAAGCCGCTATCAGTAAAATATTAATTTCTCATCAACAAGATTTTTTTATTTTGCTACCATAAGACAATAGGCATGTGCGTACCTGCCTATCTACCCATTTAATACTATCCAACTATATAGTTATAGTTGATAATTTTGAGATATAATTTCAAGACTTTTGAACTTTTTCGATATATGTGTAATATGTATAGTTTACCATACATAGGTTTACCTACCTATGGAAAAATTAGGTGCCAAATTAGTTAAAAACGGTAAAATCACGATTTTGTCCAATTCGAGTTTTGTTAGTTCTTTGAAATAATGATTCTGATAAGTTCGAAAATTTACACTTAAATACGATTAACTTTAGTATCTATATTCTGTACATGTACTGGCGATGATAGATTTTTTAAATTATTTTGGGCACTTTATTGACATTTTAGATTATAAGGTTTCGGTTCTAAAATAGATAATTTAGGATTTCATTATTTTAAGGCCTAGTAAGTCACTCTAAATACATTAAAATTTCAAATCCTCAAAAACGTGTACTTGTTGTAAAAGACCAATAGGTACCTACGTCTCACATATATTTCGTCTAGAAATACGAGAATTGAGTAAATAGCCTCATACTTAAAACCAAACCAATAAATATTTACCCACCAAATTTAGAAAAAACTAACTTGAATTTTACTTCGTTTAATAGTTTATTTGATAATATTCTAAGGTAACTATACTAATTCTGTCCAGTAATTTTTTCATATTTTTAATGGTAATAATTATTATTCTATGTCACAGTTGAATGTTCACAAAAAACTCGTAATACAATTTATATGAGAACTTAAACTATTTAAAATTTAAATAATTAAAAATTTAAAACAATCCTAGTTGGTAAAAGTTTTTAAATTTATTTTTATAAAACTGCATATTACGCTTCCCATCTATTACCGCATTCTGCAATATGTAAATACTGGAAGTCCATGCGAATAGATATATATAATTACATTCGTTTAGAATAGTTAATTTTGTTACGTTAATGCTGCGCCCATTTAATTAAAAACTATAATTTAAATTCACACATTTAAATGTTTATTTAATTGAAAACGTGTTAAAATGTATTACCATTTACCGCTTTCGTAGTTCGTTTAATATATTTCGATTAAATTTCAAATTATCACCTACACGAGCAATTTCATATTTCAGTAAATTCGATTTATTTTAATAATAAATATAGTATATAATAATGTGTACCTATAATACAGCTTTTGCTTTATTGTTTTCTCGTGCATCATAATAATCATTAATCACCATATGATATATTTTCTGTCATTCACGTGTATAATATAAACACTGAACTAACACATTAGATATCATGTATATATTATGTATTTGGGTAGTATACATAGCCGAGGCCATGCAAGCAAATTTAAATTTACACATGACGTCTTTTTAGTTTTTTTTATACAATGGGGATATTGTTTTTATATCTGTATATTTCACAAACAATTATTCCTTGACAGATCTGCGAAATAGATAGTTCTAACTTCTAAATACACGTCTATGTATACCATAATATTTCATACATAATTTATGTTACCTGCCTGATTCTTTCCGTCTTGTCTAGGAGCGCTTCACTAATTCGCATTAATGGATTTCCATTTCTCTGATGAGCAGTTGTGAAATCGCCTTCGTCATAATACTCGACGTAGGGCTGCTGTTGTGTGTAAGTCAATTCTTGAGTTTGTTGGTTTTTGACACTTATGTGACGCCAATATTGTAGCCAAAGTAGATAAATGTATCCGCACATGCCCAATAGTACGACGTTTAAAAAAAACCATACTGTCAGTGCAACCGAACGCATTTCGATCAAATATTAGGATTGCGTTTATCTGAAAATGTAATTGAAAAATTCATAATTAATATATTGATTAGTAGATAGAGACTGATTAAGTGAGAATATCTGAGGAGGGGGCCATACATTTAAATGTACACAACGTCTTAAAACAAATATTTCTCTTGTACATTTTTAAATATAATATGGGTAAGTATCAAATCCATTACTTGCACTTGTTGTTGAGTTATCATTTAGAAACAGTGAAATATACAAAAACGAATATACAATAAACAACCAAAAAAATAAGGGGAAAGTAGGTAACCGCTCTTCTGTGTAGTTGGAGTCGAGTGTACCTCGTCAATGAGTAGGTCACTGTAATGGATGTATTAAATATGAATTCAATAATAAATCATTGCATACGAAAAACGGCTACCGTGAGCGGAAACAGTCTGTCAGACGTTAGCCTACTATAACATAAATATACTGCTATTAATAATATTATAGTCATTTTTTTCACTATTTGAAATACAGTATAAATTATAAGCAGGGAATAGCATACAATGAATCTAAATATATTGAAAATGTCATTGTGGATATAAAGTTTTAAAATATAATAATATTTTAAACGTAAAACTGTAAAGGTTTCAAATCTCTACGAAAAGTATTTTTGAATTAGGTACTAAAAATATCTTAATATCTTTGTATAACCATATAATTATCTAATTTCGTTGAAAATTTGAACTTCAAATGTCTATATAATAAAGTGATAATTTTAAAAATGTTTTACAGTTTAAACTGCCCAATTATGAGAAACTCTGAATTACATTTTTAAACTTTAATAACTGATAAAGAGTTGAATACTTAATACATTTTAAAGTACAAAATAATCTTCATGTTTTCGTGATTTTCATTAAATTTGTCAAAATTTGAACTTCAAATAAGTAATAACTTAACAAATAATATACTTAAAAAAAAAATAGTGCTTATTCATATTTATTTTGAAAAATTATGGGAATTTTAAAATTTGATTTTTCAAATAAACCTACTGGTTACTAGATCTAATTTTGTATCAGAAATCATTCTCGAAGATTAATACATTTTTTCTACTAAAGTATATCGTATAAAAAAAGACAAACATCATTGTAAAGTCAATGTACATCACCCTCCACTCTGAACCTTTAAACTAATAAATATAATAAATCACCATATTTTTTAATTTGCCTTGTACTTACAATATTCATTAAAAATGCTGAGGATTCAAGTGCAATAAATTCTTGAATATAGATTTTATAATTTTTTCATACATTGATTTATGAATATTTATTTGTTTTACAAATAATGTGTTTTTTATTATTATTTTTTTTTTATGGCACGGGGGTGGGGTTAAAGACACTTTCTAGTAGACTCTGACCTCACACATTGAAGAAGGTTTCTGGTAGAAAATTAGATCAAGTGTGGATACTTTTAGTGGTCAAAATTAGAAATCTACCAATGCTTTTTAAAATAATATGTGTGTGTGTGTGTGTGTGTGTGTGTGTGGTGAGAGGGGGGAGAAATCACTAACATTTCTAAAATAAATATTATTATTAAAATAATTGTTTGGTATTCATGGTTACTAAAAAGCTAACTTAACCTTTTCCACACAGAATCATTTTTCATCGTACCTATACAATGATATATTATTGAATTTAAATATTCAAATTTAACACACCCATTAAAGTTACATACTTGATACACGCTTGACTGCACCTTTACAACATAGTGAATAGGTACCTACTTTCCCGTTTTTTAAAAATATTTATTTTAAAATTAGTTATACATATAATTAAATTATTAGTTTAAATATTTCCATAAAAACACTTAGAATTATTTATGTGTTCAATATGAAATCTGGAGGGGGTTAAGCTAGTAGACAGTAGCCACACTTCCGTTCGTCCCTGTTATTGTCACACTATTTTGTGTGCTCTTTAAAATAACAAATTGTGTTATAGCCTATAGATATCACATGTGGTATATTGTTTCATTTTGTCTTCATTCTCATTGTACCAATTATTGGTTAATGTCTCAATTAGTTAATATTACCATAGTAATAGTATAGGTAATTAAAATAATTAAATATATAATGAGTTATAGATTATAATATATAATTTAGCATAAATACACGTTTATTACGTGACGTCGTAATAATATAGTTGTGTACTTATACCTGTACTTACTACAATTTATTTTCTACAACTACTTATTTATAATAATATCTAATATAATATGTATATATGTTCTAAGTAATAATAATTTTTTGAGAAAAATGTTTTTTTAAGAAAATATTTATTAAATACTGAAATCGGTAAAAGTATACATCCTTGCCTTTAATTAGGATACAAAAAAATAAACCTTACAAACTAAAAAATTCATACAATACGCTTTAAATAGTTATTTAATTCATATAATGGCTAGCTATTCATTGATCTTGTATACGTATAATAGTTTATGCTATGTGTATAAAATACAATAATGTTTATCGCATACCTATTAATTATTATAATTATAGGTACAGTACTACAGTGGGTATGAGTTGCCTTGGTATTGCAATATCAATTACATTTTCGATTGATCATATTTTTGTAGAAATAGTTTACGAACATTTAGTTAACTCATAATAACAATAATTTAACGAAAATAAAACATGTACCTAAATAGAAAAAAATTGCAACATACCAATTATAAGCATGTAACAAAATATAAATGTAAAGGTACCTACAAAGAAAAATGTTCTTTTAATGAAATCATGCTGCTTGCTTGGCTGTAGTTAACTTATTATAAAAATCGTGGTTTTAGTGTAATATTAAATGACATATTATACTTATCTGGGCACCTAGCTACCTTTTTTTAATGACTATACGAGATAGAACACTAGAGTATATTATTAACTCAAGACCGGAAATGAATTATTTGAAATCTATAAATTATTGCTTTTCAATCGATGGACATTTTAAATTTAAGTTTATCAATATTTCTCAATGTATAATATATTATAAAATAAATAGATAGCGGGAATCGATACATGTTTTTTAAACGTATTTTATAGGGCACATTCAAAGTTTTGAGACGAACCACGATTTTACAAGACATAATTATACTTAAAGTCACACAAAATAAACCTAGCATTCCAATTAGTTTGTCTTATTAAATTTATCACAGGGCGCCACGCTTGTGCATAATAATTATATTATAATCTCCTGGATATTAATATTATCGGCAAGTATTAATAGTTTAATTACACCTACCTCCTGTACCATGCACATCAATGTAGGCACATATAAATCACACGCGAATTAATTGGCAATTAATCGCTAATGAATAACGTATACTGACGACGTGACTGTAATATTATCGAATTCACACATTTTTATTCGATGTCAAATAATAATTCCACTTCGGCATGTTTATGCGATACTTAACCACTGTACTCGGATGCTGTAGTCGTTCGTATGATAAGCCGAAAAACACTTTTCATCGTGGTAAGGTTGCAGCACAGCATCGTCGCATAGTGTACGCAGGATCAATAAACCGTACTTGCGCCATCCGAAACGCGCATCTGACATTACATGCAATAGTGGCCTGAAAGCACACACTCTGTGGTACATTATATCATATAGGGGAGAAGAAATAATAAATGAATTTATTAGTTATTCATGTCACAGTGACGACGCCATTATAAATAATATATGCATATACCTTATACCTATTATACTACCACCAGTAGAGTATACTGTCACCACGTATTTAATATATTTATATATTATACGCTTATTCTGCACTGTACAAAAATATGAAGTAAGTATACGGTACCTACACCTACGCCAAAATCGTTTAAAACTTACTGATGAAAAACAACAATCAACACAACTGCCATTTCAACCAAAACAATGATAACTTTTATTATTATATTTTTAGATGCGTTTGAAATTGTTTGATAGCAAAATAAATCGTTTTCAAAATAATAATAATATCAACCCACCAGCCTATTATTTTTCCTTTTATCATACTAACATGTTTTTTTGTATGGACACTAATCAAAATTTATGTTTTTGATTTTTCTAAATTAATACTTTTACATATTTGTATAGATATTGTAAAAATACTATGTTCAATTTTAACTACTATAGGACATAGATCTATAAATAATAATAATTTATATTTATTATATAAATAATAAATCATTGAACATTATTAATAGGTACGTAAAAAATAAGTCAATCTGCATCATTATAATATATGGACTTAACTACGTAGTTAAATCGTATGTGTAGATTCAAATTTTAAAAAACTATAATTTTTTCTTCATATTATATATATAGTTATATTTTAAGTAACATTTTGGAGTAAGAAAAGTTTGTTATTATACATTCAAAGTTATTATACATATATGGTTAAATTAGGCACACGAATTTGTCTAAGATGGTTCGTTAGTTAAAATTTAAACTAAGCATACAGAGCATATATTGAAACAGGAAATTAAAGTGAATTATTTTAGAACGCAATTAATAAGTGAATCTGTATTAATGGTTCAAATGTATATTTTAAATAGCTACATAGATACATTTAGTTTTTTTTACAAATTATTGACATTGTAAAGTTTTGAAGGTGATGAAAAAATTCATAAATACGCGAAGTCGAAGTTGATATGAACTTTGACAAGCTGATTGGAGAAAAAAAAGATGTCGCTCGAGAACAAAATACTAAGAATTATCTGGGGCTGTTGTGATGTGAGTATAAAATATAACAATACACTGTGGTGTTGGAATAAAAGAAAAACAAAAAGATCGTGGTGACGACAGGAGCACCAAGGACAACCAATTTTTTGAAAGCACAAAATAAATAGTCTATATAGTCAGATAGTTCTGATTTGTGATGAGGCTGGACAGATTCAGCGAACTTATTAATAGCATCAATCGAGTTGAAACCATCTGAGATATAAACCACAAGAACATCCAGTGGCGTATGTCAAAATTAAAATTGGTGGTGTTCAAAGAATTTAAGGTGATCTGCTTTTATAATATTGTTGTGCCCAACAATAAATCGTTCTATTTTTCTTCTATCGATACCCACCCATATTTAAGGTGAACATTACACGGAGTGAAGGAAAAGTTAGGGATATTATAATTTGGAAAGAGAAAGAACGCTGTACCGAGGAGTGGAATTATGGGGAAGACAAAGGTGGCAAAAACTTTTGAATAGTGGTTTCAGGAAGAAAGAAAAGAAATGTGATTGTATACATATATATTGGTCAACACACCCCATACTTAAACAATAGTGTAGTGTATACTATGGTAAAGTGATACATTTTGATATGTAAGTTTTAGTAGAAGACTATAGTGTAATAATTGCTTATTTGCTTGTACCTATTACCTATATGGCCACTGACAAGTGACAACATTTGTAAATTATATGATATTATAAAAATTACTATTAACCAAGTTAAAATAAAAAAAAGTTTAAAAAGCGGTGGTCTGGTGCTGGACTATACACGATGGCACACTAACTCTATCGAAATTGTATTTTTAATGACAAATCAATGTTACATTTTCATTTACCTACCTAATACAGTAATAAATATATTTTTATGAGTTATAATTCTGCACTAAAGTGGTGTAGGTACTTAATATTAATGTAATACCACACATTTTATGTGCGTGTTTTTTAATCGTATGTAAAAATAATTTTTTTACTTAGAATATACATATTTTATTATTACCAGTTATCAGGTACATAATATTTTACATGAATAGTGTATTTCTATACACCCGACTGCTGTTATAATCAGTATGACTCGCAACTGAATTAATTGCAACTACTCCTATAATTTTTTTTGAGTGAAAAACGGAAGTTGAAAGGACATTGGGACAGGCGGAACAAGTGTCTTTAAATTTAAATTAAGTTTTTGACTGAGCTCGTTTTATACTATACTGAAATAATGAAAATACCTAATTAATAATTAACCTAGTTCACTAAATTACCTCTATTCATGCCACAGTTATTACCAAACGCATTAATGCATCATAAATATCACCTGCACCATGATCTGAGTAGATGTAAACTTTATTCTTTTCTTAGTGATACTGCACTGAATATGATGTTTACGAGTAAGTTAGATTCGATTATCACATTATATACATTATATAATATATAATATAGGTATACTTAATGTGTACACTGGCGCCTGATTTTTCAAATTTCATTGGGTGCTTTCATGGGGTGCTTATGTATACCTAATATATTAATATTACATATTGTTGCATTCATTTTGACACGTTTCATTTCATTTCATTTTCATCATCGCAGCACCAAAAGAATCGGCGCCCGTGTATATATATGTTTATGTATTACAATAGGTATATTAGGAATAGATACGTTCCTCAACGTGATCCAAGTGATAAATAAATACAAGTAGCATAATTTAGTTTGGTCTGACACTTTATTATTATATATATAAAGAAAACACGATTAATATATTTATTTATTATTATAAAACAGTCTTAATCAACAAAATGTTCTGATGCTCAATGATGATGTAAATGATGAGCAATAAAATGCGTACGCATAATAATACGATTTAATAATATAATTTAAGTATAATATAATATAATGTATAGGTATAAGAAAATATTCATATATAGTGTTATTTATATTTTAAACCACGTTTAATAAGTTGCAAAGTCGATTGTATATTGTATGTTTCGTCATCAAATGTATAATGTGATAATACACATGGTATCGGTTTTTTAGTTAATATTGTTAATAATATTATATACGTAGGTAATTTTTGCATATTATGATTGTTTTGGTATTTTTTTTTCATTCACGTACGGAAAAGATCAATTATGGTCTAGTTTCATCGGTGGCCCATTTCGATTACGAATAGGTAATAGGTATGTATATAATTATATGTATATTATATAGATAAAGCAGCTATATATGCCTAGGGATAATGTGATTACTTTTTGTGATTAATATCTTTTCGCGAATTAGACCACCGAAATATAAATCTTTCATTTATAAAGTGTTTTATATTTTAAGTTATTATAACTATTAACTGTATTGTATGATATTTGTTATGGTGACGTGCTGATGACGTCGCTGTGATCTCAATTTAAGTATGTTTGCCGAAAAAAAAAAATGAAAAAGCGTAATTTATCAAGCGTTAGTTATGTATCACGAAGCTAATAATGCATGTTATTCTTCTTCCGCTTCGTTTTGATAGGTTATATAACGCACCGATGATTTTTCTCCGGTGACCAACGACTGAAAAAAATATAAAGTCACATGCAATTAGTAAATCGTCTTGTTCCTATTTTTTCAGACTGCAGCATGTTAAACGTAAATGTGGTTAATACTTAATATTAAAAAAATATTAGTGCTAAAAATGTGATTATTTTTCTCGAGTTTATATTTTTTGGTTAAAGTGTAAACATTAATGTTTAAAATGTATGATATTTAAAATAAATAGGTATAAAGTGTTAGTAGATTGGAAAACAACGTTATAGTATACTATTTAGCCATTTAAGACGAAAGTATTAATTTTGTCTAAATGTTAATTGCACTTAGTTGCCTAAAAATGTTAATGAAAATTCTAATTTAAATTGTTTTTATAATATTTATATTCACCGATTCACTTACAAACGTTATTAAATAAAAGGTTTTAATTATTTTTGATGATTTTAAGTATAGAATAACATAGTTTTGTTACTTGAAACTTAAAAGCATTCATACATCTTATTTATAAAAATATGTTGTATCAACAAAAATAAATAGTATGTAACCCAAAAAGCCATTTAAAGACAATTTTATATTGTTAGTTAAAAGAGTTTCAAAAGGTTTGCTATTATTGTTTTTAGTATTTTTTAGTGAAGATTTAAAAAAAAAAATGTCCACGAATTACAACTTACCCACGATTATTAGACAAATATTTTTTTTGTATTTATAATTACTGAATAAAACTAGTTTAACAAAAAATATTTTATTTTTACTCCTTTATAAAATGTATTACTTATGACGACTATAACAATTCATTCCATCATTCATTTTGAAACCATATCTATGGTAAATTCATAAATAAAAAAAAATTATATATCACATTAAAAAATCACAATTCAAATACAAATATTTATCCTTGTTTCGTGTAGAAATGTTATCAAAATATAAAACATTTTATAATCTTAATATTTTCTGAAGACTTTCAACAACTGTTATTAGGTAGGTACTTGACTATTTCATTATCCCTACTTTGATATACAGAGTTATGTAGTTAAAAAAGTAACCATTTAATAAGCCTGGGCAACTTAATGATAATTTTAAACTGAATTAAGCAAGTTGATTCAAAATATTTCAAATGTTTAAAGTTAATAGTCACCTAATTTTTTAAAACTCAGTTCAGTTAAAAGTTATATGGAAAACTACAAATAACTTACAAACATAAATTGATTAATTTTCTTTTCCAATTAATACATAAAAAGCCAGTAATATGGTCTAAAATAATAAATAGTAAATGTTTATGCAATATGCATTATCAATA